AGTAGCCGCTGCTGCCCAGCTGTCGGTACGGCTGCCGCCCCAGCTGCTGCTGCTCCTCCACCAGAGGAGAAGAAGGAAGAACCCAAGGAAGAAAGTGATGACGAGGGACTTTTCAATTTGTTCGATTAGGAGCTCTATTCAGACATGACATATACATAGTCCATTTTAATTTGCTGGTTTTTTTAAAAAAAAATTGCTGGTTTTTAGTACTTTGAGATTAGGTACCTTATCAATATTGTAGAAGGGCTTTGCTTATTTCTTTTTGGCTTTGATATGTAGACTCTGGGTTTAATGTTGAGCATCTAATTTTGAAGATCTTTTGTTTAGAGAAAGACTTGTATGGAATGACTTCAAGTTGGAAAATCAATAGTAATATTGAATTGAATTTAATAGTAATATTATTTTTATTAAGTGAATGGAAATTAATTACAGGGAATCATTTTTCTTTCAAGGGGCATTAAATCGGGTACTTATAATCTCTTTGAATAAAAGGGTTGCATCTATTCTGCCTTCTCGATCATAACAAGGCATATTGATTCATGCAAAGGCATGACAATGCCTATATAAAGTACAGGGTTTTTTTTTATCACCAATGATCCTTGAGATTGACCAAACTTATCACTTTGATCTCTCACTTTCAAAATTAATCAATGTCGTCTCTGACATTCACTACCAAACATCAATTTGGTCCTTCTATTTAGATTCCATCAACTATTTCTATTAGTTTGCATGTGGAATCCATAAATCCAATAAAATGGTGACATGTGGATTACACAAAAGAAGAGTTTTTATCACAAATAGTCCTTGACATTGATCAAACTCTTCATTTTGGTCCCTGAGTTTCAAAAATCAATAAATTTGGTCCTTGACCTTCACTACTGCACATCAATTTAGCCATTTCGTTAAAATTTCGTCAATATTTTTTGTTAGTGTGATAATATGGTCCTACTGGTCCAATCATATGGCGCCACATGGATTAACTATAAAAAAAATATTTTTTAAGATTTAAAACTAAAAGTACTATAATAAATTAAAAACAAAAACTAAAAGAAAAAAAAAAAAAAAAAAAAAAAAGACATCATAGTCTTCATCTAGGTATGCTCAAAAAGAAAAGGAAGGCACCATGACACCACTAAAGCTCTTGTCCTCCGTGAACTCACTTATCATTCTCTCTAGTTGGTTATAATCCTATCAAATTTGAATTTGGATTCGATTTTATCGAATTTAGATTGAATCTTATTTTCCAATCGGAATTGTGGGATGCGAAAGAAATGTCAGCGCGGAATACTCGCCAGATTGGTTCACTCTAAAAAAAATTAGTTTCTTATAGTTAATCCACTTGGCGCCATATGATTGGATTAGTGGGACCACATCAGCACACTAACAAAAAATATTTATGAAATTTTAATGGAATGATGCTATTGATGTGCGATAGTGAAAGTCAGACACCAAATTTATTGATTTTTGAAACTCAAGGACCAGAATGAAGAGTTTGATCAATGTCAGGGACCATTTATGATAAATAAAAAAAATAAAAAATAAAAAATTAAACCCTTCTTTTGTATAATCCACGTGTCACCATTTTATTGGATTTGTGAATCCCACATACAAACTAATAGAATAATTGACGGAATCTAAACAGAATGACCAAATTGATGTGTGGTAGTGAATGTCAGGGACGACATTGATTGATTTTGAAAATGAGGGACAAAAATGATGAGTTTGGTCAATCTCATGAACCATTTGTGATAAAAACCCTAAAGGATATTAAGTCGGCTGTTCAAGGATGAATTCTAACCTTGGATTTTTAGTTCAATAGTTAATGATAGAGTGCGTTCTCATACTGAGTAATTAGAGTGTGTATTGAAAGAGTTCAAACACTATCTGGTTAGCCGTATTTAGTGGATTGGAGTGCTTCTTTTGTAAAGTGATAGGTCACCGTATCTTAAGACACATTTACCACTATAAACTTTAAAACACCTGGTGAGAGGCAATCTTTGTCTTAAAGATATAGTATCAAATATTAGACTCAATCTCAAATTTCAAAATTTTCTAGTCCGTACTCATTAGTAATGTGTTTGCTAAAGGATTTGCAATTGACCATTCGGTATTTAATTGCATAAAATATTTCTTGTATTTTTATGTGATAATTAAATATAGCAATCAGACATAGTTTTTTCAATATATAGTTCACTGCCACATGTGGCATCCTGATCCAATATACATCGGGCAGATGGTTCCATTGAACTGACATAAAGCTCGTCTAGTCACCAAGGGTTTTAATCAGACTGAAGGCATTGACTATTATGACACTTTTTTTCTCCCACTACTAAGATGATCTTCGGTCTGTTGCCTTCTTGTTGTTACTGTCAGTTAAAAGTGGTCTCTTCAACAACTTGATGTCAACAATGTTTTTTCCATGGCGACTTAGATGGAGAAATTTACATGTCCATTCCTCTTAGTATTTGGAGATAGGAGGATAATTTTGTGGGTAGCCTCAACAAGTCACTTTACGACTTAAAACAAGCTTCAAGGCAATGGCCCAGCGAATTCACCGGAGCCATTATTGCCATTGGCTTCACCCAATTTAAGGCCGATTATTCACTTTTCACCTGCAGTTCAGAAAAGTCTTACACAGCCTTATTGATATATGTTGACAATATTGTAATTACAAGCAACTGTGTTGGTGCAATAAACTCTCTCAAAGACTTCTTCATACTCGTTTTTGCACTAAAGATTTGAGAAATTTAAATATTTCTTGGGGATTGAAGTTTCTCGTTCCAAAGGAAGCATCTATATTTCACAACGCAAATATGCACTTGAAATACTCAAAAATCAAGGTTTTTTTGGGAGCTAGACCAGTGGAATTCCCAATGGAAGATGTCAAACTTTCAGATAAAGGCGAATTGCTCAAGGATCTTGCCAAATGTTAGTGTTTGGTGGGCCGGCTAGTTTATCTCTCTATCACTCATCCAGACATCACTTATTTCTTACATGTTCTTAGCTGTTTTATGCATGAACCACGACAACCTCATATGGATGCGGCTCTCCAGGTTGTCTAATACCTCAAATCTACTCCTAGCCAAGGATATTTTTTTTTTTTAGGTCTGATAATAAATTAAATTTGGATACTTATTGTGATTCAGATTGGCCTAGTTGCCCTCATGACTCGTCATACAACCACTGGGCATTGTGCTTTTTTGTGTAATTCTCTCATCTCTTGGTGCACAAAGAGACAAAAGACCGTTTCTTTATACTTTGCTGAGCCGAGTATAGGGTGATGGAAGGTACTTGTTATGACGTCACTTGGCTGAGATTTTTATTGGAAGATTTATGATTGTCTCATTCAGAAGCTTCACTTTTGTTTTGTGATAATCACACGACTTTATATACAGCAGCGAATCCAGCTTTTCATGAAAGGACACGACATATTGAGATGGATTGCCACTTTATTCGAGACAAGATAATTGATGGCACGACCACTAATCGACATATAGCATCTTTGCAATAGCTAGCAAAAGTTTTTACAAAGTCGTTGGGCAAGGAGAAGTTCTCCATTATGATACGCAAGTTGGGAATTCTTGACCTCCACTCTCCAACTTGAGGCGGAGTGTTAGAAAGTCAATGTTCTTAGTTAGGAAGTTTTAATGTGATTGATTGTAGGAAAAATTAGTATCCGGTCTCCAATTACTAATGTTCATTGACTGAAACCTTATTAGTTTTCAGATTTTGATCCAAGTCCCTAGCATTAATATAATAATAAATTTACATGTCAGTTACATATTTTTTTTAAATAAAAATTAATAATTAATTTAGAATTTTAATACTCACACCTTTATTAAACTCCTAACTAATTTTCAATTCAAAACATTTCCAAAATAAATAAATAAAATAGAATAAGTTTGTACCCATTAGCTTTTTAAAAAAATGTTTTCAATTTTTTGACCTTATATGTACCCATTCATGTAATTTTTTTTCAAATTTTTAATCTTAAAATGTATCATTCTTAAATGTACCAATTTGTTATATGTAAAATGTACCCTTTTTTTTTAATATAAAATCTATTCAATTTTTTTCTAATCCATTTTTAAACTTATATGGGTACATTCTTTTTTCTTTGATTTGAGAATGTATCCATGTCAAGTTTAATCAAATAAATTTACTAATGTTATTAACCTAATATCTTCTTCTTTCTTTTTCTTTTTTTTTTGTGATTTTGAAGAATGTACCCATTTTTTGGTTAATTTTGATGAATGTACCCATGTAGTATATTTTATTTTAATATTTTTAATCCCACAAATTATGGTTTTTTATTTAAAATCTCATTAATATAAACAACTATAAATTTCAATTTTTAATTTAAAAATATATATTATGCATAGAAAATTATCACATTAACTTCAGGAACTTATATCAAAAATTGAAAACCAACAAAGTTTCAGTCAAAGAATATTCATAAATAGGGACCGCATCCAAAATCTTCCTTGATTATATTTGATTTTGTATTTACAATTGCAATCCTTAGATTGCAGAATTACCTATTGTACAAGGAAACATGTCGTATATATTCCTAATCCTAACGATCATGAGGCGTAGCTCTAGACTGATTCCACCACCTTCTTCCCTCCACCTCCTGCTTTCATAGACTCCAAAAACTCTCTTGGAGCTGACACTCAGGTGACACAAGTATTCGAGCCACAAAAATAGAACACCTCCTACTTGCTAACAGTAGGAGTAGCGGTTCACCTGTGACTCCCACATGGTAAATAAATTGAGATGAAACTCTTAGAAAATTGTACAGTAATAAAAACAAACTTATCCATATAAAATACTTGTTAGCTACTCCAATTTGTCTTTAGATAAGAATGAAATTGTAGAACAAAGACAAAATTCTTCTGCTTTCTCCTTCACTAATGAAAATCTAACATTCATGAAATTAACACTTTAGTAAGCGTTGCACCTTCGTACGGTGTACGCAAATATTATCTCAGCCTTCCACTCTAGAACGAAAACTTGTGCTTCCAGAACTCTTGATCATCATTAACAAGATTTCTCAGCTTCTTACAAACACATGGCACTTTTACAATGTCAACACCAGAAAGTGACTCGAAAATCTTCCTTTTTAGCTCCGGCAGAAGGTCCATAAACACCGTTGGAGCCGGCAAACCCGCCATCGGGCAAAGCTCAATCAGAAAAGGCAGTACAATCTCATCCATGGAAATCTTCCACAATTCCAAAATTTCTTTTTCAGGGGACTGGTACTGATGCAAATCCCTATCTCCAAGATCCACATCCCTAGTAGCCCAAAGAAATTCAATCGCGGGGCAAAACCTTTGCTCATCCAAACATAGGTGATGGATAGGTGAGTAAAGCCCTAATCGGTAACCGGACAAAGACGGATAGACATTGACAAAATTACCCCTACTCTGAATCATCAACTGAATTCCTCCTCCTCCTTCAATCACGTTGTAATTTCCAATATTGGTCCAACCATTAGACTTTTCAATATTGGTCCAGTTTTGCAAAATCTGAGGGAGAGTGTAGTACACCCACATCGTCTGACTTTGATCCAGTGTAGACCATTTATCCAACAGATGAGGACGGTCCTGATCATCGGTTTGCTTGCCTGAAATCGGATCGATTGGGACGAAACCAGACTCCAAGAGGACGGCATGGACTGCGATCATCAACCGCTCGTGATTACTTCGCTCATCTGCCAACTCCCCCGTCAGTGCCCTCCTCAAGAACATGATCTTGTTTGCCACCGACCCACCAGACCTAACTCCAATTTCTTCCATATTTTTATGTAGTAAAAAAGAATAAAACCACTAGGGTTCGACTTTGACCTAGAAAAGAACACTAGGGTTTTGCAGTCAAACCATGCTCGAAAACGATCTCTCTGTTCTGAAGCAATTGAAACAGCCGTACTAGATCCTTTGTTTTTTGTTGTTGTTGGAAATACTATATATCCTTCTTTAACTAGGGTTTTTTATTTTTTATTTTTGTTTTGTTTTGGTGAGGAGGGGAACGATCCAAAACACTACTTTATCCCGAAAACTGGTGAGAAGGCCTTTGTTAACTTGCAAAACTGGTGAAACATTCATAATCCTAAAATTACCCTCTCTCATTAAATTTTCAAATAAAATAGAAATTCGCAAAAAAATAAAAGAACTAACTTTATTTAAAATATATATATATATATATATATATATTACTTTGTTTTTCTGTTTTTTGCTTTTTCAAATAAAAAATTAAAAAGCGTCAATTGTCACACGTGTATGCAAGAGGCTAATTTCCTTTTAAGCTAATTATAATATACTTATAAGTGGAAACGCTTGCGAGATCTCAAGGTCGATTTAATGGTCAGTGTGAAGACCTAATGGTTATGATTGGGTTATTGTGTAGTCTAACTCTAATCTGTCCACCCGTTGAAGGAAATTACAATATAAACCCCTCATGTTTGGATCACTTTTAGAAACAGACACAACATTTCAATTTTTTAATATACCTGAAGTACTAAAACTTTAACAGTTCAAGTCATTGTTGTGTTGGACAAAAATAGGACCAATCCTAATGATCATGATTGAGCTTGAGCCAAAATTAAGAACCTTCGTATTGGCCTTGGCTCTTGGATCTACTTCTTTGCAGTGCCCCATTTGCAGTACCCCAATTGGGAGATTAGTTAAATTGACTGGTCTTACAATTTTAGAAATTTTTAACGAAAATGGCTTCACACAAATTTTTTTATTCAAAAGCATTAATGAACTTTTATTAATAATAAGGATAAAAAGAAGAGCAGTGGCAGTATTGTAAATATATTTGGAATTTGAGAAGTGTTGGCAATATCATAGTTAAGTTGAAAATTGGGCTCACTGATAGTATCATAAATAAGTTGAAATTTAGTGGCAGTGGCAAGTATTTTTTCATAAAATAAGGTAATTGTTTATTGTGAACCTTTGAACCCAAGACAGAAGGGACATGTTTTTCACACAGCCCTAGGCTCCAAAGTAACAGTGAGTAGTCTTTTTTTTGTTATTTATATTACTATTTCATATTGTTTTATTGTGATGCTTGAGTTTTTAATTTAGTAGTACTTCTCTTTCCAATGCTAAAAGTATATATATAAGATGTCCTCATTTCAAATTTCCGCTTTGTTCAAACTAGCAGCGATGCACATGCTGCTCGTGGGAACGGAGCCAGGGAGACCAAAGTAGAGGCGAGAGAGCGCGTTGGTAAATGCAGAGTAGCATGAAGGGAGATCAGCATTGAAAGGCCAACTGATAATATTCTATGAAATCCAAACACCAAACTGAGAAACAAAGATTCATAGAATTGCTTTTAACATAACTGCCTTCCATGGTAATAAATGAAATAAATCTTAACCATAACATCCCGTGAAAAGCTTTTGGCTCAAGCTCAAGCTCTTCACTCTTCACCACTACTAAAGATCCTCGTGATGCAGAGCTCTCAAATTTCACGAGTTTTGTATTTCAACTCAGAGCTCTCTTCTTTTCTTTTTTTTTGAGTCGTCCCCCAAACTCCTTCAAATACCCCATCAATTCTTCCTCAAAATCATGCACTTTCAGCAGCCTAACCTCCGTTTGATCTTAACCTTCAACCATGGAACTCAAAACATTCAAAAACCGTCTTTTTGTTTCCATTCTCTTCGTTTGCTTGGTTTCGATTCGTGCAAACACTCTCCAAACTTACATTGTTCAGCTCAACCCTCAAGGTGTGACCAGCTCTTCTTTTGCTTCTAAGCCGAGGTGGCATCTCTCGTTTCTTGAACAAACAATGTCTTCTGAAGAAGACGCTTCTTTGCGGCTTCTGTACTCTTACCATTCTGCCATGGAAGGATTCGCTGCTCAGCTATCTGAGTTGGAGCTTGAGTCCTTGAAAATGCTGCCGGATGTCATTGCAATTAGGCCTGACCATCGGCTCCAAATACACACCACTTATTCTTACAAATTCTTGGGACTCGGCGCTTCAAGTGAAGGTGCTTGGTACAAATCTGCGTTTGGTAGAGGCACGATCATTGGGGTGCTTGATACCGGAGTTTGGCCTGAGAGTCCAAGCTTCAATGATCGTGGAATGCCCGCAGTTCCCAAGAAATGGAGAGGAATTTGTCAAGAAGGGCAGAACTTCAATACTTCAAATTGCAACCGAAAACTCATTGGCGCCAGGTTCTTCACTGAAGGCCATCGCGTAGCTTCATACACACCAGATGGAGGTCGTGAGTATGTGTCACCACGTGATTCTCACGGGCATGGAACTCACACATCATCAACAGCAGGGGGCGCTACTGTCCCAATGGCAAGTGTTTTCGGCAATGCAGATGGTGTGGCTCGAGGAATGGCCCCGGGAGCGCATATAGCGGTGTACAAAGTCTGCTGGCTCAATGGATGTTATAGCTCTGATATCCTTGCTGCAATGGATGTTGCAATTAGAGATGGAGTAGACATTCTCTCCCTCTCTTTAGGTGGGTTCCCCATTCCACTTTACGACGACAGCATTGCAATTGGAAGTTTTCGAGCAGTGGAGCATGGAATTTCAGTTGTGTGCGCAGCAGGCAACAATGGTCCAATCCAAGGCTCAGTTGCCAATGAAGCTCCTTGGATCACTACCGTTGGTGCAAGCACACTAGACCGAACATTTCCAGCCATAGTTCAAATGGGGAACGGAAAATACCTCTATGGAGAATCTTTGTACCAGGGAAACCATCTTAAGAGAGCAGGGAAAGAGCTTGAACTGGTTTATGTGACAAGTGAGAATAGTGGAAGTGAATATTGCTTCAAAGGGTCACTTCCACGAGCAAAAGTCCGTGGAAAAATCGTGGTTTGTGACCGAGGTGTCAATGGAAGGGCAGAGAAAGGCGAAGTGGTGAAGGAAGCTGGGGGTGCTGCAATGATTTTGGCAAACACAGCGATAAACCTAGAGGAAAACTCCGCCGATGTCCATGTCTTGCCTGCAACTCTCATTGGCTTCAAAGAATCAGTTCACTTGATGGCTTACATAAACTCTACTAGGAGACCGACAGCTAGAATTGTATTCGGTGGTACAGTTATAGGAAAATCCAGAGCACCAGCAGTAGCTCAATTCTCCGCTAGAGGACCGAGCTATTCAAACCCTACAATCCTCAAACCGGATGTGATTGCTCCCGGGGTCAACATCATTGCTGCTTGGCCTCAAAACTTAGGCCCCACTGGCCTTCCAGATGATTCTAGAAGAGTGAATTTTACTATCATGTCGGGGACATCAATGGCCTGTCCTCATGCCAGTGGAATTGCTGCTCTTATACGCTCAGCTCATCCCAAATGGAGCCCTGCAGCCATTAAATCTGCCGTTATGACAACTGCTGAGGCAACTGACCATTCAGGAAAACCGATAATGGATGGAGACAAACCAGCTGGAGTTTTTGCAATTGGTGCTGGACATATCAACCCCGAAAGAGCCATTGATCCTGGGTTGATTTATGACATCAGGCCGCAGGATTATGTCACGCATTTATGCACTCTTGGATACACAAAATCAGAAATTCTTACCATCACTCACCAGAACGTTAGCTGCCGTGAACTTTTGAAGATGAACAGGGGTTTCAGCCTCAATTACCCCTCCATTTCAGTAATTTTCAAACATGGTACGAGAAGTAAAATGATCAGAAGGCAAGTAACAAACGTCGGGAGTCCTAATTCCATTTACAAGCTGGAAGTAATGGCACCGAAGGAAGTAAAAGTGAGAGTTAAACCTCAAAGGTTAATGTTCACAGACATCAATCAGAGTTTGAGTTATAAGGTATGGTTTATATCAAGGAAGAGAACAGAAAAAAGGAAGATGAGCTTTGCACAAGGGCAGCTGACTTGGGTGAATTCTAACAATAGCTTGAACCGGGTTAAAAGCCCCTTCTCGGTGACTTGGAAGTAAAAGGGCTCATCACGGCATGAGAGTGGCTGTGGTAGTTCTTCTCTAGGAATCAAAAATCCATTGCTATTGACTCATTGGATTCACATTTATGACGACTCAAGGGCGAATACCTTATCCTAGTAGCTTTTCGGGGGAGAAAATTTGAGATGTAAACTGTCCTTTTATCATCTGATAAAAGGCAGATGCTTTTACTGTATTAACTACAAGTCTTTTATGCTGTTGGAAATCTTTCGACTTATAACTCGTTCTACTTAAAATGTTTCTGCAGTGATAAAGATTCATGTTACTGTCCTACTGAAATGAATTTACATATAAATCTCAGTATCTTGTATAAGAAACCCCTTCTTAAATCATCTACGTCTCAACTTAACAGAACATGTAACAAAATTTTCAACGCAACATGAAATCCTAGGCAGATATAGAAAGAAACTTACACGGTGTCAACGCCTTAACAAATCTGCATCCTGCAACGACAAGATAAATGGTTGAACACATAGGCTGGATCATCTAATCTGTTACCTTCATCGTATCATTCTTCAAATTACAACAGAGTAATTAAAAGAAATAAGGCTTTGAAATTTGGGCTTTCTCACCTCTATAACTCAAAATACAGAGTACTGACAGAATTCTCAATTAAGAGCAGAAAAATTGGTTGAATCAGAAGGACGATGCTGTACTTGCATTACAGGACACGTGTGGATTAATAAGATTTCCGAGTAAGACAACAGATAAGGATATACATTGCCTCAATTTTTTATGAAACTCAAGCCATTGTCATTTGCATAGCGTTCCATGAATCTCATGAATCTGTCCCAATCTCTCGGAGTTCGCATTATGTACTTTGCTTCTATTCCTGCAGGCTTTCCGTTGACAAATTTGGCGTTAACATCAACTGATGAAAGTACCCCTTCTTCGTCAATCATGTAAAAGCCAGTGATGTCACCAAACTCACCAGAGGAGTCAAACACAGAAGGCTGCTCAAACTTGAAAATTGCCACACCATTTGTACCGTCTTTTGATTTGGTCAGCCTCACATCTGGTATTGTCTGTTCATCGGTCCCTTGGATGAACTGAATTTTCGGTTTGACCATCATTTTAATAGACCTGGATGCTTGAGTATACCGTCTTAATGGCGCCCACTGGGGACGAGACACGCGCAAAGACTTGCCATTGAATGTGGATTCTGCACTTCTATGAACACCCCAACATAACAAGCCTACACAATCAGAACAAAAAACATCTTATGCTATGTTCATAATCCACCTCTTGCTCTTGTCACTAATTCGCAATAAGTACATAATTATCGGAAATAGAAAACACAGAAATTATAATTATAAAAACCAATTAACAATTTGAGTGTTTCAATTGATCATGAAGAATTGAAAACCCAATAAACCCTTTTTGCTAGTTCCTCGAAACAATCTCATCTACTTGAAAACTGCTAAAACTGACACAAAGTTTGAAACTTTAACAAAACCCATCAAACAATTTCACCCCATTTGCCCCTTCACCTATAATTTTTCCAAGAACACCGCACAGACCTTAATGTACGGAGTTAAATTATGACAACAAAAGAAATCAAAGCATTAACCACAATAAAATTTACTGCTTGGTATTAAATTATGACAACAAAAGAAATCAAAGCATTAAACACAGTGAAGTTTACTGCTTGGTAGTGGAATCACAGCACATGCAGTAAAAAACCAAAAAAATTACCCGAATGAAGGCGTGGTTGCTGCAGACATTGTGAGAGTGGAGAAGAGAACGCAAGTGACTGCAGGGTCGCCATTGCAGAAGTAGAGGGTGGAGATAGAGGGGGGGAGAGTATGTGTGTTAAGGAGGAGAGAGGAGTTGTGGTTTGGGGATAGAGTGGTGTGTAACAAGGACAGCCATTCACTTTCAGTACATTCTTGGCTTTTCAAAGGATTGGTGGATATACTGGAGAGAGAAAGAGGTTGGCACTATCGAATCCGGATCCGCTTTATTGGTTCCTAATAATTCATGAATTATATAGATTCATCGTATATTATATAATTAGAAATTATTTTAAAAATTTTTATTTACAATTAAATACATATAGTATCTAATAAAAATTGATCGCACAGTATATGATAACCGAATTTCCAAAATTCTCATTAAAGAATTCGGTGAGGATCCAATAAAAATTAATCGCACAGTATATGATAACCGAATTTCCAAATTTCTCATTAAAGAATTCGGTGAGGATCCTGTTGGGGCGCTTTCAACTTGCTAGATTCTGGTATCTTTTGTTTCTTTGCGTCTTGGTCCATGAATACCTGGCAAATCACCACAATTGGACACGTGGCCTGATATATTGCTTTGGGTCCAAGCCCAACAATGGTTCTTAAATGAGGTCTAGCAGCCCAATGTTTCTACTCTAATATAACTCAACCCAGTTAATTCAGCCCTCAACCCAAAGGTGTCTTTTCTCTAGCGCATCTCAAGTTTGTCACTTAATATTACGATCTAGTTATATTATTCTTCATTTGAAAGTGAAAAATCTTAGGTTTAACTCTCGTCAAAGGTAAATTTGAACCACATTATTGTCAGCTCATTGTGAAGCTTAGCCCACCCCCTTCCTCTTAGTTTAGATGGTATTATTTGTTAAAAAAAAAAAAAAAAAATTATACTACGGAACATCCACTTAATACTACGGTCTAATGATATTCTTCTTCACTTATAAGTGAGAGATCTTAGGTTCGATTTTCTTTAAAAGTAAATTTGAACCACATTCTTACAATCCCATTTTGAGGTTTAGCCCACTCTCCAACCCGTTAGTGTAGATAATATTGTTTATTAAGTTAAATATGCAAACTTGATGCAAACATGACCGATTCTATGGAACAAAAACTGTTAGACCCATCTTTCTAAGTTTCTAGTGTTTTTTCTTTTCGTTGTGTAAATTAAATGTGCAAATTGATGCGTACATGAGAGTTTTTGGTTGTGCTAAGAATTAATATAGATGAAAACATTTTGATTTAGTTTAGTTTAGACTTTAAATACCCTTAACTGAATAAAATCATTATTTATAATATTAAAATATGATACAAATATATGATAAGCCTTACCATTACTCAAATGAGTAACTTCTACATCAAACCGAATAGCCAACGCATTAGCTTAAAAGCCACAAATCAACCTTGAAACCCATCTAACTATTGTTGAATTTCATATGATTTTGGGAGAAATGCGATATCATCCTATATGATATCATCAACCAAATGATGACTTACAAGCCTTGCCACTTGTGAAAAAGCGAATGGATGAATCATATATAGGTAGCTTAATCACTACTTTTTGTGTGTCGTCTACGACTCGTATTTCCAATCTCACACGATTTTTGAGTAATTTAGTTTCCGCAACAAGAAAAAACAAGGGAAACAGAAATGTGAAAGGAATTGGGTTTTTTGTTTTTTTTTTTTTTGGGGGGGGGGGGGTGAGGAGTGGTTGACGGGGTTTCAACAGGTTAATTTATGTGGTTGTTAACTAACATCTTGAAGCTATATGTATGTGATTCAATATTTTTAGTGGATAGGATGTTTGATTTCTATCTATGCATCCCGACTCGAGACTCTGAGTTCGAAATTCTCGCTTCTTTTAATTATTATAATAGTTTTGAACTTTTCCCTCTTCCATTGATAATAATAAGGGTATTTTGATATGAGCGTCTCGTTTTTCAATTTCGTGGTTTATACATACATTCCTTATAATTAGAAGATCTTAAATTTAACTTTCATGAATGACAACATAACGTTGGATTCCTAATTACAATTTATCTATTGTATGGCTTGGTCAAATTCCTAACCCCAGAATATTATTTCAAAATTGTCTTCTAACCTTTTGGTTGTTTTATGGGTGTTGAATCAAATTTAAGCCTACACCTTGGGTATTGCCAAATGTGAAGGGATTGGGCCACTTAGTTTAGGTTCACTAACCTCCATCATTGTTTGATGGTGTTTTGAATAAGGATGGATTTCCATGTCCTCCAAACTAGTTTCTGGTTCTACGAGGTTGTAAAGGGGGACGCGGAGGAGTCTTTTTTCCTCTGTAATTTGGTCCGATGTGTTAGCCCCTTGTGGATTTCTATATTCTTTTGGCTGCGGCCCTGGAAATGTTATTTCCAGTTCTCAAAAAAAAAAAAAAAAAAAAAATTGTGTAGGGGTTTGTCATTGGTGTAAAACGGTCCTTCTATTGGAATTGAAGTTCCTTGTTTTTTTTTTTTTTTGGCCCTAAATAAATTGAAATATGGAATCCGCTTGGGAACACTGATCAACCTTTTATTTTTTTCGTCAAGGGATCTGATCGCTCTTATTTTTTGCCTTTCTTCATCAACAATAATCAAATACTAGTCACCATAAAACCTTTTCAGCATTAGTAGTTTAATCCTAATCACCCAACATGTCTTTATTGTGATATGAAAGTCAAAAGCCTCTTCAATATTAAGAGACATGTTATATAGGAGGATGCTAGCAACCTTTTTATTTTGACATTTTCATTCTACTTTCTCAACTATTTTTATCATCGTGTAGTGTAACTCAACGACCAAAATCATTTAATTTTATGATATTTTTTAGATTTCAACTTTGAAAAAGTATCAATCAACATAAAAAATTGTTTAACCATTCGACGAACATAGTCAAAATATTAGTTTTTCAAGTCCAAATGAAAAAAATTGTTAACAATTAACATACAGACGCAAACAATAGAATAAATGTCGGGGGTGGGTGGCGGGGGGAGGAAATTTCAACACCTTTAATTAGCCAACTGGTTGGAAGAGTTGAGCATTGACTCCCAGATGAGAAGTTTCCTCACGGCTGATTTGCCCAAACATAGGGATGCCCACTAATATGATAATAATTGCCTCACCAGCGATTTGCAAATTTCACACAACAAAATTCAACTACTAGTAGTTATGAAAACGAGTGGAAGTGAAGCAAAGAAACTCTAAAAAAAACTTAGACCATTATTATAAGATGAGAACGACGATCCTAGCAATTAATTTCTTAGTAAAAAAAAAAAAAAAAAACCAATCAGCTTTGATCTCATGATATTTGTCTCCACTTGATTGTAAAATATTGAAAATTCAACTCAAAATTATATGTATTTATTATGAGCTTGACACAATTTATAGCAACATGACGTTTAATCTGATTTTAATTCTTGTTGGTTTGAAGGGCATCTGAATCTAATTTGGGACACTCTTTGAAAATTATAATCGTTCGTGATCTCCTTAATAAAATTTGATGCCGTTCACCTCAAAAAACATAGCGTTTACATCCGCAAACGTTGATGAAAATCCAAAAGGCTCAGATATCTTTCATGATGCCTTCATCCACACAAACTAACCTGTAAGAGTGTGAAATTGACCAGATTGTACGCGCCCACACCAATTCCAAATGTGTGCCTAGTACTCAATTCTTGGTCTATAAATTCACGTTATATGAATCGCAGCTCAAATTAAGTAAAAGAAGAAACAAACATGACTTGAAACACACGCTCACTCAATGAGAATTGTCAATAGCCCAAAAGTTCAAAGTCAAACTCCCTCCAAGTTTGGCTGACGGAAATTAAATAATTGAAGAAAAATAATACCAGAAATAAATTATTGAATCGAAATACATTCAACTTTTTAAAATATATAGTGGAGTTTATATATATAGTTTGCTACATGTAGGTCTTAAGCTAAAATAAGAAGATGCAAAAATATCAGCCTTTCCGTATAGTTGAGTGAATTTTTCTATCTGGACTTGGAATTAAGAAAATGGAGAAATTACAAGGAAATAGTTTTGGTGATGGGGAAGCCGAAGAGTATGACGTGGTTGTTGTGGGGTCGGGCTACGGTGGTTCTGTGGTTGCCTGCAGGTTGTCAATGGCCGGCGGCAGAAGCGTTTGTCTGCTTGAGAAAGGCCGCAGATGGGAAGCTAAGGATTTCCCAACAGACAGCTTCAAGTTGTTATCAGCTTCGAGGGTTGAAAGCCGGAACTTAGGCCTTAGCCTTGGATCCAAAGATGCACTAATCCAGGTTTGCATATCCTTACTTTTCATGTGTACTTGTTTAAAAAAAAAAAAAAAAAAAAAAAAAAAGTAAAATTTACATTTAATTCTCATATTTATTAGGTGTTCTCATAATGAGGGAAGTTGGGTTTGGATGAGGGACTTTTAAGTTCCATAAAACTTAAAGGTAAATTTGTAATCAAATTACTTTTTTGTAATCAAATTATATATACATAATTGACCTCCGTGATTAGCTCACGTCTGGAATATAGTTAAAATTAAAATGGCCTTTTTTGTCGAACAAAATTCTATAGGGAGAGGGGAGGCTATCTCATACTAGGGACAGAGCATACCACAAGCTTCTTTGAGAACATACAGAGAAGATCTTAGCTTCTTTTTTTGGTATTTACAAATTGTCCACCAAAAAAAATTACCAGCAATGTGACTCGAACCTAGGCCTTCGCATTTTTTTTAATAAATGAAATGTAGTACTTTTCTTATAAAAAAATTTATAAAACACAGAAAGTTAATAAATCTTAGCAAGACATGTTGAAGAAACATTTTTGTGTAAGAGCCGTGATGTTACTTATCATGCGTTATAGTATGAGTTTTTTTAGAAAATGTGTTATTTCATATAAACTGTACGATATAATATTAAATAAAAAGATAGCATGTTTTATAACATGAGTGCAATAAACAATTTTCACATCGACAAACTATATCACAAAGAAAAATAACTCCACATATATCTTGCATGTGTAGGTATATGAGCAAAACGATTCTGTAGCAGTAGTGGGTTGCGGACTCGGTGGAGGTTCACTAGTAAACGCAGGAGTTATGATGCCGACACCAGTTCGAGCCAGACGGCATCCAAAATGGCCAAAGCAATGGGAAAAGAATTGGGATAGTTGTGAAGCTTCTGCAGCTGCCATGCTCAAAGTACAAAGCCTTCCTGACAAGTTTTCTGTTGCGAAAGTCTTGGAAGATCATATCACTAGTGAAGAAACTTTTGAGACTCCGGTGAGGCTGACTATGAATTTTGACTTTGAAGATGGTCAACGTCCACTATCCAATAATAATCCAATTAAGAAGGTTCAACAGATGAGTAGCTGCTTAGCCTGTGGAAATTGTCTCTCTGGATGTCCTTATAATGCCAAAATTTCTAACGACAAGACTTATCTACTTTCAGCAATCCAGGCATGTCGATCTTAATTATATGTTAATTTTTATATTAATGAATCAATAGTATTAGAAACAACAACTCATTGTTCCAACTTTTGGTTTTCACTTAATGTGACAATTTCTTATTTACTGTATAAAAAATGAAACACTATCACATCAGTTAAATTCTTAAAAGTTGAAGTAATAAGTTGATGTCTCTAGCAGTAGTATCACTTAAAGGAGGATTGAACTTTGGACATCTCCTAAAATAGAAAAGAGAAATACTAATCTAAAGAACTTGTTGTTATTGTTAATTGATGATGGCTTTTGATGACAATTGACAAAGCCAAGAGTGCTATGTTGTCCAATTAATGTTAGTATTTTCATTTGATTAAAATGATGTTGCATGAAAATGATATATATATATATATATATATATATATATATGCGCATGCATTGATTAATTAATGTTAAAACCAGTATGTTTTTATCTAATTTGCAGACAATTAACCAAGCTTAAATTAATTTGTGAAGCAGGAGGGATGCACGATTAAAACTCAATGCCAAGTGCAGTACGTGATTAGAAATACGTATGACGATGAGGGCACAAGTGGCAGAAGAAATAGAAGATGGCGTGTTTATTTGAATGATATTGATTATGTAACCACTGATTTCGTAATCCTATCAGGTAATTAATAAACAGTAAAATTCGTACCAACTACGTAGTTAATTATTATCTTGGAGAAACTTTGGTCACGTTTCAAGATTTTAATAAGTTGATTAATCATACATCTCGGATTTATAACCCAGGAGGAGTTTTTGGCACGACTGAGATCCTCTTTCAGTCACAAATGAGAGGACTAAGAGTTTCAGAAACACTTGGTTCAGGATTCAGTTGCAACGGAAATACTGTTGCCTATCTCGCCGGAAGCCCGATGCCGTTGAATGGTTATGGACTAGATAAGAAGCAACTCTTTAAGATTCCATTTCAAGCAAGGCCAGGACCATCCATCTCATCATCGTACACTTCTTCGTTGGGGTTTACAATTCAGGTAAGAGAACATTATCTTGTTATATAGATTGATAATATAAATTTTCTCGGATTAACTACACTTTTTTAAAATACGGGTATATGATTAATATTTTGTCAATATTTTTTATGTTGTCAAAATTTTGACCTTATAGTTATGTGAATACGATGAGAGTAGATGTCAACATTTTGACCTTATACTGATAATTTTTATATATCAGTGGACATTATTGTACTAGTGATATGTCATACTTTGAAATACCGAAACGATTATAATTTAAGGAAAACTAATGAAAATCGCTTCAAATCTTTGTTTTTTCATGAAAAATCATACATTAATTTTATTTAATGATAAGGACAAAAAAATAAATAAATAAATAAACATAAAAAGTAAAAATCGCGATCAATGACATCTGTAAAGAAGCAGCTGTCATTCACTACTTCCCCGGCTGGACCAAGGAGGCACTCCAATCCTCTTAGGTATGATTCTAGCTCCATGATGCGAGAATTATACGCGCACAAATTAAACCCTCTTTTTATCAATTGTAGTAAGTATGTAAGTAGGGATCGTTCTGGACCGGGGATTATGAGGGATTGCAAATCACTTGGAAACTGACTCAAAAACGTAAAATAAAGTTTAAAACACTAAACTAGACTCAAAGAATGTGAAACTAAACGCTCAAAATACTAAAACAAACCAAAAGACTCAAAACTGCCTTAAAAACACTTTCTGGGCAGTTTTGAGCACCTTGGTGAATTTGGACGAATTTGTGCAACAAATTGAATCAAAACACTTATAAACACAAACTAAGACACTTTCTAACTAATTTGGACAATAAAGTAAAGGCGGATTGGTTTTGGATGAATTTGAAACTAAAACAGAAACTTGGAAACAAAACAGATTGTAAAACGAATTTGATGGAATAGAATGGATGGGATGGCTAGCTAAGGGGTTCATCTCCACACATGTTACACTTGCATATAAAACGATTGTCAATTGCTTTTCAATAAACCATGATGCCCAACACCCCAAGTTAACCGTGATGCACTAATTAACTCTTAAATTTTCCTTATGTTATTGAATTGGATGATGCATGCGACAATTCAAATCATTCTCCAATGGTTCTCAACATGAATGCATAGAAGAGATACAATGAGAGATCATTATGCTCTATGAAAATTATAAGTGTTGACGAGGCAATTGTAACTATGAATGCATGATACTCTTGCCAAGAATTCATTTAACGCGATTGTTTATAAGCAACCTCCACTACTTGTGAATATAAGTTCATAACTATTAGGTGAAACTCACTTATATTCTAGCGTCATATTCATGCATGAAAATTAAGCGTGCACTCTCAATAAACATACATAAATAAGTTATCAATCAAACAGTTAAACAAATTGAATTCACAACTTATGAAACGTAATTAGAAGTAATCAAATCATATTGCAAGCATAAACATATATTTCGAATCCCCCCCTAGCCAAGGGGGGGTTTAGTTCCTCATACGTACAAAACAAAGAGAATTGAAATTAAACATTGAAATCAAAGGAAAAGAAACACCTAAACATTCCAACAACTCAAACTTGAATTGTATGAACGTTTAGGCCCTTTTCTCTTCCTCTTTGTTGCTGCACAAGGTCTAAGGAATGGTTGTGTGATGGTGTGAATGGTTTGGGGAGTGGTGGAAATGGAAGGATGGTGTTTGGATTGTAAGGGAGACATGGCAATGAATTTCTGGTGTGTGAATTGTGTATGAATGGGAATGATCTGATCTAGGGGTTAATATGAGTATATATAAGCACTTAAAACCCTAGGGTAATCAGATATAAGCTTGTGACAAGCTAGGACGGCTAGGAGACAAGCTAGGACGGCTAGGAGACAAGCTAGGACGGCTTGTGACAAGCTAGGACGGCTAGGAGACAAGGTAGGACGGCTAGGAGACAAGCTAGGACGGCTTGTGACAAGCTAGGATGGCTTGTTCTTCCAATGCAGAAATTAGGCAGAAATTAGGCACCATGTGTGAATAGATAAAGGCTTCTAGAAATAAGGTTTTTAGGCCCCCTTGCAGCTCCCTAACTGAATTCAAGCCTTCAAATTCGTCCATCCTCATGCCTCCATGCTTGCACTATCCAATCTTGGCCCAAAAGTGCTCTAGAATGCTCCAAAATGCATCTTTTTGCTTCCTTAGCCATATGAACCTAAAAACACAAGAAAATGGCTTAAACTACTAAAACAACTCTGAATTCACAATATAAATGCACGAAAACAAGCTAAGTAAGTCGTCTAAATATGCTCCTATCACTCCATTAAAGGCACTCCAGTGGTAGCAGGTAGCTAGTAATCAATCTAGTGAGAGAGAGTGTGTGTGCATGTAAAATAAAAACAAGCATGTAACTAAGGTAGATTTTGTTGAGTTGAAGAAGATTGAATAAAAGATTGGCCAGGCTTTGTTAGAGGGTGGAGGAGGAAGCGAAGAGACGAGAAAAATCGATCGGTTTGTGATTTTTGTGTCTGTTTCAGTTGTCACCATAACTAATATCAACTTCTGTTTTCTTATTCTTCTCAATATCCTTTGTGTAGCGTCCCCTACCCACCCACCCAAAACTCCATCAGACCCAAATTTGATCCAAGATGCTAGAAGACATTACTAGCAATAGATTACAACAAAACCAAGCTAATTTTACCTCCTCTTTTCAAAGGTTGTAGCTCGATTCCATTAGAGCAACTCTCACTGAGAACCCTTGCTTGGATTATCCTACTTCCCATTACAGAATTTCACATGCAATGGTACCATAGGGATCCCCAGCTTGTGCATGTCTTGTATTTGGTTGTTTGAGGTCTCAATTAAATTGGAATTTTTGGTGATGGTGCTTGGAGTTCTTTTTGGCTATGGTGGTTTAGAGAGAAGGTAGAGAGTTCGAAAAGAGAGAGAGAGCGTTCTGGAGTGTTCACGGGGGAAAAGGAAGAAAAGAAAAAAAAGGGGAAGAAAAGAGAGTGGGATGGGTTACAAACACACCACAGTAGTATAGTACCGTTAAGTTTCATAAACAGTGTAATAAATTTTATAAATAGTGTCGTAAGTTTTCATAAACAATGCAGTAAGTTTCATAAGCAGTGTCGTAAGTTTCATAAACAGTGTGAGGGCGCATAAGTCCGTGCGTCAATTTTTTTTTTAATATTAAAATTATGTCCGTTTAATTAAAATTTAAGTTCTTTTGTCCTTATTATTAAAATTTAAGGGTTTTTCATTAAAATTTAAGTCTTTTTAATTAAAAAAAATTATAGCATGATTTTTTATTAAAATAAACTTAGTCTAAGCCTTTTCATGAAAGTTTCCTTTAATTTATTGGTTTCTTGTGTCTTGTATGTGGTTTATTTACATTATTGTATAAGTGAAATGTTGTCAATAAAATTGACCGAATATAGATGTTAATTACTTATATTTGAACATAAAAGTATAAAAATTTTGTATTAAATCTAGGAGGTCCGGATTAATCATCCCAATCCCAACTCTTATACGTGCACTTAATTTCCCATTGTGATCAAACTGCAGAGTGCAATACTTCCATCAGCTTATCCGAACCTTATGTTTAAAGGAATTGTGACTTACGGATGGCCTGCCGGGTACTGGTTCTTTCATGGGATCATTGACAAGATAAAGCTTGCAATGGGTTTTAAAGCAACCCATGCAGTGGCTCTTGTTGCGATGGGATATGATGAGAGCGATGGTAAAATCATGTTAGAAAGGGGCACCAACAAAATCAGCTTTAATCCACCTCGTGATCCCCTTCTTCCCCGAAAAATTAAAGCTTTTCAAAGGCTCACTAAGAAATTAGGAGGAGTTCTCTTCATGTCGAAGTACCGAAGCACAGCTGTTCATCTTTTAGGTGGGTGCAATGCATCATCAAGTCCGTTACATGGTGTTTGCAACCCTAATGGGCAGGTTTTTGACCCAGCTAATGATGAGTTTCTGGCTGCTGCAGTACACCCCGGCCTATATGTGTGTGATGCTTCTTTGATTCCATGTTCTGTTGGCATAAATCCATCTCTTACTATTGCCACCGCAGCTGAGCACATAAGTAGGCAACTTGTGAAGGATGTTCTCGAGTACAGTATCAACAATATCGACAAAAAAGGTCCAGATTCCTTCACTGATAAAACAAAGACTATAGCTATAGGTAATGGTAAAAAATCAGATCTCACGTTCAAAGAAACCATGAGAGGACATGTTGGGGGTATGCCATGCACAGCTTATCTCAAAATGAAGATGAACCCTAATGATGAGAACTATATGGACTATGACAAGTTGGGTACTAATATTGGCCGCGAATCCCATCCCCTTCTAAGAGGGAAAGTTGGAGGGCACGTAGAACTTAGAGGCTTTGAGAAGGATAATTTGCATATCATAGATGGAGAAGTAAATTTGTGTGAAGTAGATTGTAGAACTCCTTACACACAATATATGCTTTATCGTCTTTGCCTTGTGGCTTCTACTGGTTCAAGGTATGTACCTGAATATCTTTATCTCCATATCTTTGTATTGGCAGATTTATATTGTCAAACTGTGAATCAAACCACATATTTTGGCATAATCAAACTGATCTATGATCCTAATATATTCCACCACGCACATATATTCCTTCATTTGTTTTATTTAAGGACTCCCACAATTTAATGAATGCAGGTATATTCTGCAGGGGAGAAAGATTATGAATCCTTATCTCTTTGCATTATATGCTTGGAGGGAAACGACCACAATGCATGTAACATTTGAAAAAGTTCCCGAGAAAAACTCAGTGGATCATGATCATGAGAATGTGATCTTAAAAGGGGAGCTTAGTATTTCCATGATGGAGCTTCTTAAGAGCTTGATGAGCTTCGATGGAAACAAGAAAAGAAAGTTCTTATGCCTCCTATCAGGGACTTTCTTGAGAACCTATTTCTTGAAGATACCTCGAGGGAACCAAGAGTACCTTAATTTGTTAGACTGTGAACATAAATATTCTTATCCAAGCAGCACCCTGCACGATATAGAAACAGGTATGTAGCAAAGATTCGATTCATTTTTTAACATTTAAGTGACTAGAAAAATATCGTAACATTTAGAAGCCTGAAAAATCAAATCTATGCATATGCAGAAGATGGAGTCGTGATCAGTTGCAGGCAATGGAATTGCCATGATTTGTCAAAATTTAGACGATCAGATGGACAACGAAACCCGGTTCTCCTTGTTAATGGTTATGCTGTTGAGAGTTACTGGCTTCCGACGGAGCCAAATGACTTGATCAGAACTTTACTTGAAGAAGGGCATGAAACATGGTTATTACAATCCAGGCTGCACGCTCTTAATCCTCCAAACACTTTTACCCTAGAAGATGTTGGAAGATTTGATATCCCTGCTGGTAATATATAAGACTTGACAATTTCTCGTAATTAATACGTGTATGCAATTACTTAGCCAATAACATGTGATTTCTTGCTAATTCACTTTTTTCTTAATAACTTTCAGCAATTAATAAGATGCTTGAATTGCTTGGACCGAGCGTAAAGGTGCATGTAGTTGCACACTGTGTTGGAGGCTTAGCTATTCACATAGCTCTCATGGGAGGTCATGTCTCTGGAAACCATATAGCTTCTCTGTCTTGCACTAACTCTTCTATGTTCTTCAAGCTTAATGCTTTGTCCAAAGTCAAAATGTGGCTTCCTATACTGCCAGTGAGCTCTCTCTCTCTCTCTCTCTCTCTCTCTCTCTCTCTCTCCCTCCCTCCCTCTCAAACGTGTTAAGTGATTTATATAGAGAAAAAAAAAAAAAAAAAAGCTCCTTGTATGAAAATGCATATTCCTCTTCATAAATGAATCACAGTTTTAACCAATGTACATAAGAAAAATTAGTTTTTACTTTTAATGAGTCAAAATATATGACTGGAAGCGTAAGGAGCCAAGTAGTATTCTAATTTATATAATATACATATGTAGATATCCATGTTGATACTTGGAAATAACAAGACACTTCCGCTTGTGGAAACATCAACGCCAGTGAGCTTACGTCATAGAATCTTAAAACTTGTAGCGCGCTTGATACCGCGTTACGAGAGATGCACCTGTAATGAATGTGAAGTTGTTTCCGGCATATTTGGAAACGCATTTTGGCACGAAAACATAAGCCCAACTGTGCACCAGTGGTTGAACAAGGAAAGCTCAAAAAGGCTTCCTATGGCAGCATTTCCCCACCTCAGAAAGATATGCAAATCTGGTTTTATATTAGACAGCAATGGTAGCAACTCCTACTTGATCCACCCAGAAAGAATGGCACTCCCAACACTTTATATATCGGGCGGGCGGTCTCTCCTTGTGACTCCTCAAACATCTTTTCTTGCTCATAAATACATGAAGTTGCACCAACCAGGGTTTAGACATGAAAGGGTAGTTGTGGAGGGTTTTGGGCATTCAGATTTGTTGATTGGAGAAGAGTCTTGCAAGAAGGTCTTTCCTCACATTTTATCTCATATAAGAGTAGCTGAGGAAGAGAAATACTACTGCAGTAAAGAGGCCTTGGATTCAGAAGCAGATCATTATCAATATGAGGAAGGATTTGGAGAATTTGGAACTTGGTTTTCTCCTTTCATTATTCTTCTGCTGGTCTTTATATTCCTTTCTTTGTTGGTCCGATTATTTTTAGTATCAAGTTAACTTTGGCTACTGTACAGTTGTTTGTTTCCATCAAATTATAAGTTAATTGAACCAAGTTATACTTTTTTCCTAAATAACCTTTATGCGATGGCTTTTTTTCTTTTTTTCTCTTTGTATTTTTAGAAATTCAGAACCAAGTTACTTTTGCTAACGGTTTTTGTGAAAGATGCCATTATTTAGTTTTCACAAGAACTTTTTCAGACGTTAATAAGTTTTAACGTCGCATCTAAATGACTTATAATAGTGGCAAATTCTATAAGGATCCAAGTGAAGAAAACAGCTATCCAAGTGAAGAGAAGATCAAGGGTCAAACTAAGTGACACTTGTTAATACATTAAATAGATGAGCTGTTATAGGTAGTTACAAGTTGTTAGAATTACAGTTGAGATAAGGAGATGGAAGATTAGTAGCTAAGAAAGAATATATAATTGTAATTGTAATCATATCTTGATCATTAAGAAATCAAGACATCTCTCTCTCTCTCTCTCTCTCTCTCTCTCTCTACATTCTGTGCAATCTTCCAAGAACACATTCATCAAGCTTTCTCAATATCAACATGGTATCAGAGCAATTAAAAGCATTAATTTCTTCTTCTAATCCTCTATTTTGCAAGCTACTGTGATTCTGCAACTTGGGAATTTCTCCAATCTTCAAGATCTTCAAGAATCCGTTCTTCTTTGTCTACCCTCTACGTGTTTGATAAAAGCGTCTGTGAAAAGTTCGACAATGGTGACTGCTGATCAATTGAAAATTGATCAATCACCTATCACAAGCCTCTTTTCCACAGTTTCTACTTCAATTACGGTGAAGCTTGATGACTCCAATTATCTTATTGGAGCTTCCAAATCAAATTACTCTTTGAAAGCCATGGTATCATGGGGTTTGCTAATGGATCAAGAAAGTGTCCTACAAGATTTGATGATGATTCTGAAGCTGAAAGGGTTGAGAAAGATGACTAGTTGGTATGGAAAATGCATGATCGTGCACTTATGGAATTGATAATTGCAACATTGTCGACTACAGCAATGTCATGTGTAATTGGAAGTCAAAGCTCTCATGAGATGTGGGTGAATCTCATTGAAAGATTCTCTACATTCACCAAAGCCATAATCTTTTAGATGAAAATTGAGCTTCAAAACATCAAGAAAGGGTCTAAATATGTCTTTTTATATCTCAAATGATCAGAGATGCAAGGGATCATCTTGCAGCTGCAGGAGTACTACTTGAAAATGATGATATCATAATTCTAGCTTTGAAAAGGCTTCCTGCAGAATTCAACACTTTTCGGTGTGTTATAAGGGGCACAGAAAATGGTATTTCTCTCAAAGATTTCAAGTCACAATTAATTGCAGAATAAGCTATAATTAGTCAGTTCTTTGACTCCTCATCCTCTTTACCATTTGGGATTGCAATGGTTGTTGGCACTCAGTCAAGCAAGGGAAAAACATTGGTTCTTGATCAAGAATCATCACAATCTAATGAAGTTGGGTCTAATTCTAGAGTCTCTAACCAACATTTTCACAATCATGGAGGAATATCAAATCCTACAGTATATACCAATTCATATCAGGGTTCTTATCATTATGGTGATTACAAAGGGAATAACATTTGTGGAAAAGAAAGAGGCAGATCATTTAACTATGGTCCAAGATCTTACAATTCTCCACCAAATGGTAATCCTAGAATTCTTGGTGCACCAAAACCTTATCAATCCACCAGTGCAAAGCATCTTTCTGAAATCCCAATTTGTCAAATCTGTAACAAAAAGGCTCATGTTGCTGCTGACTGCTTTCAAAGACACACTTCTTACAATTCTAGTGTTCATATACCAACTTAATGCCAAATTTGCTGGAAATTTGGACACTCAGCTCTGCAGTGCTATCACAGAGGTAATTTTGCATACCAAGGCAAATCTCCTGCACCAACTCTCAGAACTATGCATGCTCATCCTCAACCTTCTGCACCTAAGAACCAATTCTGGATTGCATACACTAGTGCCACCTTTCATATGACTTCTGAGTTAGCCAATCTAGAATTAGTTACTCCATATCAAGGGAATGACACTGTAACCACAACAAGTGGTACAGGTTTGCATATTTCTCATATTGGCACATCAAAGTTATCTGTTTCCAATAACACACTTGTCTTGAAAAATGTTCTCCATGTCCCAAAGATTCCACAACACTTATTATCCATCTATCAATTGTGCAAGGACAATAGGTGTAGATTCATTTGTTATGATACATTCTTCTGGGTTCAGGACAAATCCACGGGAACAATAATAATCAAGGGCCTGTGTAGAGAAGGCTATTATCCCATTCCTTTCAACATACCAGAGATGTTGCCACCTGCATTACCTCATAATCATACATCCTACCTAGCAAAACCAATCAAAAATGACACTATAACCACAGCAAGTGGTACAGGTTTGCATATTTCTCATATTGGCACATCAAAGTTATCTGTTTCCAATAACACACTTGCCTTGAAGAATGTTCTCCATGTCCCAAAGATTTCACAACACTTATTATCCATATATCAATTATGCAAGGACAATAGGTGTAGATTCATTTGTTATGATACATTCTTCTAGGTCCAGGACAAATCCACAGGAACAATAATAATCAAGGGGTTGTGTAAAGAGGGCTACTATCTCATTCCTTTTAACATACCAGAGATGTTGCCATCTGCATTACCTCATAATCATACATCCTACCTAGCAAAACCAATCAATACACACTTGTGGCATAAAAGACTAGGCCATACATCAAATGTGATTACCTCTACAATTCTACATCAAAATAAAATCCCTGCATCACCTGATACATGTCAATCCATTTGTACACCTTACTTAGAAGGAAAATTTACTAAGCTACAGTTTAATTTTCCTGTCACTAAATCTGTACAACCTCAAGAGGTCTTACACAGCGATGTATGGGGACCTGCTCCCTTGTTATCTCATGAAGAATTTAGGTATTATGTAACCTGCATCAATGAATGTACTAGATATGCATGGGTTTTCCCTTTAAATAATAAATCAGAGGTCTTTACAACATTTGTGCATTTTTATGCTTATCTATGTACTCAATTCTCTACAAAACCAAAAATTTTACAAAGTAATGGTGGTGGTGAATATGTAAGCACAAAGTTTCAACATTTTTTATCATAGAAAGGCATGTTACATCAAAGGTCTTGTCCTCACACCCTAGAACAAAATGGGTTGGCAAAAAGGAAACATAGGCATCTTGTAGAAACTGCAATTACATTACTTCAAACTACACATTTACCATCCAAATTCTGGTTTCATGCATGTGCTGCAGCAATATATTTGATCAACAGAATGACATGTGTTGTTTTAAAAATGAAATCACCTTGTCAATTATTGTTCCATAAAATTCCAAATATTAGTCATTTGAAAATCTTTGGTTGTGCATGTTTTCCACTGATTACACCATACAATAACTCCAAACTGCAACCGACTGTGTCTTTCTGGGATATGCAGATCACGATAATGGGTTCACTTGTCTAGACATTGTCACGCAAAGAATTTATATATCCAAGCATGTCTTGTTTGATGAAACAACTTTTCCATATCTTAATGTAGAACCATTACCTTCTTTACTAGTATCATCACCTGCAAATTTACATGAGCATTCTCTAAATCCTACAATAGCATCCATATCATTACAAAATCAAGTAGTGTCACCTGCATCTCATATTCATTCATCACTATCTATAGCCACATATTCATTGAAATTGCATTCATCTAGTTCCTCAGATTCTTTAACTGTATCTAGAGCCTCAGATTCATTGGATACACTTGCATCTAGTGCCTCAAGGTTATTCATTCCCCTACACAAACCTTAAATGTAAACCCTAATTCTCCTACACAGTATCCCATTTAAGTGGATCCTGATTTTCAACATAAGCACCTACAAGTTATGTTACCCATGCCTATGAATATTCACCCTATGCAAACAAGGTCCAAAAATGGTATATTCAAAAGAAAGGCTCTCTCTGCATCTATAAGCTACTCTCAGGCATCCATCATAGAACCAAAATCATTCAAAGCAGCTTCAAAAGTATCAGAATGGCAAAAGGCTATGAAAGAAGAACTTAGTGCTCTGCATACACATAAGTCTTGGTTTATGGTTCCATTACCACCTGACAAGAACTTAGTTGGATGTAAATGGGTATACAAAATTAAAAGAGATGCATATGGTTGTATTGCAAGGTATAAGGTAAGGTTGGTTGCAAAATGATATAGCCAAGAAGAAGGCATTGATTATAGAGAGACTTTTAGTCATGTGGTGAAGCCTACTACTATAAGGTTGATCCTTGCATTAGCTACACAATTCAATCGGCCCCTCAGACAAATGGGTGTAAAAAAATACTTTTTTGCATAGAATTCTTCAAGATGAGGTGTACATGGAACAACCTCCAGGATTTCAAAGTGAAGCACATCCTCGCAATATGGTTGTAAATTACAAAAGTCTCTATAGGGTCTTAAATAGGCCCCCAGAGCCTGGAATGACAGGTTCACAACTTTTTACCAGGCTTAGGGTTTAAAGTTTCACAAGTTATTCCCTCTTTGTTTGTTCAACATTCATCCAAAGGCATTGTGGTCCTGCTGCTATATGTTGATGATGTGATACTTACTGGTAGTAGCTCTGAGTTAATTTCAAGTGTGATTACAAGTCTCATATAAGAGTTTGATATGAATGACTTGGGACAACTGAACTACTTTTTGGGGTTACAGATCAGTTATACACCAGAAGGTCTATTTTTATCACAAACAAAGTATATCAATGAGTTGGTTGCAAAAGTTGATTTGCAGGATTGTAAGTCGTGTGCTACACCTTGTCTACCATATCATAGATTACTTAAGACTAATGAAAAACCATACACTAGTCCTGAGCAGTACAGAAGCATTGTTGGTGCTCTTTAGTATCTTACCTTTACAAGACCAGATATAGCACTCTCAGTGAATCGAGCATGTCAATTCATGCACAATCCTATAGAGTCCCATGTTGTTGTAGTAAAAAGAATTATAAGATATCTCAAAGGCAC